TTTTACACCTCAAATACACTTCATACTTCCACTCTACAACATTTTAGAGGGCCCCCTATTAGCCTATGCTTTGGGGGTTTTCCCTTTCCTGTAGTGTGTTATGTCGTTCTTTTGAAATGTAAAGGCTATAAATCTCTCCCACACACTCCCCTCCTGCCTGAATCACACCATTGGATTCCTTTGTTTACTTCTGTAAGAAAATTACATCACTACGTTAAACTCTCGCTTCTATTGGCTACGGCGCAAGAGAGGAGACCGAGCTGAGGCTGTGTATTGATAACAACTCATTTTGTTGATAGTGAGCTCATATTGAAATAGCGACGATGTTTATTTAGGTCGAAGCCATTGAACGATACCGATACATTTAGGTCAATACAGGTCTTTCATTGAATAATAGATATCAGACGTGGTTCACTGCTGATCATATGCATGTTTTAGATTTTGTTCTACAGTGTCTTTAAATCGGAAGTCAGGTTTTTTTAATACCTACCAACCTGCCTGTGTTTTAACATGTTCTTTTGTTTTGTTTTATTTGTTTTGTTTTAATGTTCTGTATTTTAAATTGTTTTATTTAAGTATCCCAGTAATGTCTGTTGCATGTTTTAAATGTATTGTATTTACTTGTTTAAAATGAAATGTGTTTTAGGTTGACTTTTAAAATCTGTCCAGGGACTACAGATGAAAAATAGCCTCTTGGCTAACTCTGGCACATTTACAGAAATGTTCATTAATGTGCACTGTCCCTGTTAAATAAATGAATAAATAAATAAATAAAATAATACTTAAATGAAAAATAAATAAATAAAATGAATTAATTAATTAAATATGGTAATAATAACATGTACTAATTATACAAAAAGGAATAATACAAATAAAATCAGGTCTGCATGTTCAAAATAGTTTAAGTATCAGAAATAATAATACAAAAATTAAATAAAGAAAATAATCTCAGAAAACAGTAGAAAAATCCCAACAAACGGCCAAAAACCTCATTGTGAAAATCCATCATTTTAAAACAGCTAATGACAGTAAAAACTGATTTAACATCGTTGCTGTACCAATCAGCCCTGTCAGTGTCAGCAGAGGGTCTGTACTAAAGCAAGCAACGCTTTAAACCCATAATATTCATATTTCTTTATGGAAATATAAAACGGCATTGGTCCCAGGTGGAATAAGTAGCATCTATAAAATGTGCGCTTGAACAAGGATGGTGTCATAAAGAGTGTCTCAGTATAAGGAGCCTCTCGGGGTTCGGCCATGCAAACCCACATTTCTTACTCAACTGGGAAAGATCTGAGAAAATGCTCTGAAGGCGCGGGCCAAGGATCTGCTCCAAAGCTCACCCTTTAAAGAAGACATATGATGCTCATTTTCAGGTTCATATCAGTATGTAGTGTCTCTACTTTAAAGAGTCCTCTCCTGCTGATGTTCAGGTGTATATCAGTATGTAGTGTCTCTACTTTAAAGAGTCCTCTCCTGCTGATGTTCAGGTGTATATCAGTATGTAGTGTCTCTACTTTAAAGAGTCCTCTCCTGCTGATGTTCAGGTGTATATCAGTATGTAGTGTCTCTACTTTAAAGAGTCCTCTCCTGATGATGTTCAGGTGTATATCAGTATGTAGTGTCTCTACTTTAAAGAGTGCTCTCCTGCTGATGTTCAGGTGTATATCAGTATGTAGTGTCTCTACTTTAAAGAGTCCTCTCCTGCTGATGTTCAGGTGTATATCAGTATGTAGTGTCTCTACTTTAAAGAGTCCCTCTCCTGCTGATGTTCAGGTGTATATCAGTATGTAGTGTCTCTACTTTAAAGAGTCCTCTCCTGCTGATGTTCAGGTGTATATCAGTATGTAGTGTCTCTCTACTTTAAAGAGTCCTCTCCTGCTGATGTTCAGGTGTATATCAGTATGTAGTGTCTTACTTTAAAGAGTCATCTCCTTCTGATGTTCAGGTGTATATCAGTATGTAGTGTCTCTACTTTAAAGAGTCCTCTCCTGCTGATGTTCAGGTGTATATCAGTATGTAGTGTCTCTACTTTAAAGAGTCCTCTCCTGCTGATGTTCAGGTGTATATCAGTATGTAGTGTCTCTACTTTAAAGAGTCCTCCTCCTGCTGATGTTCAGGTGTATATCAGTATGTAGTGTCTCTACTTTAAAGAGTCCTCTCCTGCTGATGTTCAGCTGTATATCAGTATGTAGTGTCTCTACTTAAGAGTTTCTCTCCTGCTGATGTTCAGGTGTATATCAGTATGTAGTGTCTCTACTTTAAAGAGTCCTCTCCTGATGATGTTCAGGTGTATATCAGTATGTAGTGTCTCTACTTTAAAGAGTCCTCTTCTGCTGATGGTCAGGTGTATATCAGTATGTAGTGTCTCTACTTTAAAGAGTCCTCTCCTGCTAATGTTCAGGTGTATATCAGTATGTAGTGTCTCTACTTTAAAGAGTCCTCTCCTGCTGATGTTCAGGTGTATATCAGTATGTAGTGTCTCTACTCTGACATGTCTCCATGCTTTCATGTTCAAAAAGCTTTTCCTCATGCTGCCTGTGCTGCAGCACCTCTTTTCACCCTCTGTCTGAAACCAGAGCCCAGTCTGCTCTGATTGGTTAGCTGGCCTGCTCTGTTAGGATTGGTCAACCGCTTAGAGATGTATCCGCCCCTTTGCCTATCACGTACAAGGGAACTTTGGTATTTTAGCCTTTGCAGACCATTTAAAACCTATATAACACAATACTGCGATAACGAAAAACTAAGACACCTTGCTCTTGCCAGTTGGTCCAAAGATGCCTATCCCAGCTTTAACACATTATATATTTGTTGTTAAATGTGTACAAATAACAAGGAAGTTATAAATTATAATTGTTTCGACAAAGGGTCTCCTGTCATCTCAATAATGTGCAAGGGTGCTGCTGACCACCGAGGGAAATCAATTATCATACAGTAACACAACACAAATTGAATTCAGGGACTGATATCACATGGATTTGCAAGTGTAATCTGCATTGATTTGGTAAATTATTCCATTAAGCTCAGGCTCTGGTAATTGCTTTCTCTCACACAGGCTCAGATACAGTATGTAAGCTATGGGCTGTATGTATAATAACTGTCTAAGCGGTTTTCCAACAGCACATTGGGTGGGAGGCATTTATCTCGGCTTAATGTGGAAAGAAGAACACGACTCATTTGGAGCCCATTCAACCATGACCGCCTGATTGAGTCAGACTGAAACACTAATTCTCAGAGGGAATGAAAAGTAATTTAATGTGGTAAAGGTAGTCACAGAGCAACCTCAATGAATAAATACAAAAGGTGTTTGACGAGGAATGATTGAAAAGAATGAAGGTAATCAGAGGTGGTAATCACGTTTGACAGGGGATGAAGGAATGAGTACGAAGGTTTTCTTGTCAGGCGATGAGGGAGTATTATATTTGAATCAATGCATCAAAGGCAGGGGAAGAGATTCAGAGGGTTTACGTGCAATAATAGGACACAAAACCAGACTCATCATAAACGATGTAGATTAGGGAAGACTGGGCTCTGGTTTCAGACAGAGGGTGAAAAGAGGTGCTGCAGCACAGGCAGTATGAGACAAATAAAGAGCTTTTTGAACATTAAAGCATGGAGACATGTCCCAGTAGAGACACTACATACAAATATGAACCTGAGAATGAGCAGAATATACAGAGATACATGTTTCAGGCCAGTTAGCCGTTTCTTTAAGCTAAGCTAAGCTAAGCTAAGCTAAGCTAAGCTAAGCTAATTGGTAGATCGTCTGTAGATATCTATCATACAGAAATAAGAGAGGTGTTGTTTTTCTAATGTAACTCAACAAATATGGGAAAATAATATGTTGAAAACCACAGTATTGGAGGCACGGCCTTATCGATCTGACTTCTGAGTAGCAGTTTTTATTTGGCACTAAAAAAATCTTGTAAATTGCATCATGAATACTTTAATCCAAATACACGCTGACAGACCGTATTACCATTAACATGCACAACTGATGATAAACAGTTTTTAATTTTGTCAGAAACAAAACATACAACAATAATAATATATATGTTCTTTTTTTTTTCTCACTCATAATAATAATTATAACAAAGTACAACAAAATAATAATACAAAAACAAAATAAATAATAATTCTCATTCTTATATTCAACAGGGGCAAGAAGATTTAAAAAAAACGTTTCTGGTCCTCCTTCCTAGAGCATACATTTTCATTATAAATATTAGGTCATCGTCATCAGCGACATGTTTGTCTTGTCAATTTATTTTTTACAAAACAATCAGAAAGAAATTACTTTTACAACTACAAGAAATAACAAATGGGATTTTACAGTTCCTCTTCATAACCATTCATGATTTGGCTCCTAAATAATACTTTCAGTTTAGATAGACTTGCGGAATATTTCAGTGCATCAGTAGTTATTCCACAGACTAACACCTTTTGATGAGATGCAATGAAGTTTGGCATTTGTTCGTACGGGTGGTTTTTTGAAAATGCGGTTTCCTCTCAACATGTGCATGCTTTCTCTCCGTGTGAAAAGTTAAAGCATGCACAGTGTTCCTATTGGCAGGTTACACATGTATCACTTCTTTGTGACATGTGATACAAATATGTAATGTAGTTTTGCATTGAAGGAACTTGGTGGCTGTGGTGTGAACAATCAGAAAGTGTATCTGTCCTTCTTCTGACATCTAGTGGACACTGAGAGAAGTGGTGGTGTCTTTAAAGTGATTTACTGTTAGTGGTCGTGACATCTTTCCTCAGGGAATTAATCTGTTGTAACCATTTATGAACGTTTTATGTTTAAGTGTTTCATTGATCTCTATTATCATTAAAAACGAACTATACGATACATATGATATACTGTGTCCCCCTGTGGAAGATTCTTATCCTCTGCTCACTTCTGATACTGCCAGATCTTTTAATACTTTTATGTTCACTTTAAACCTTTAAATCCATACAGAGTAAAAATGACTCTTGTCAAGCAGACACACAGATAAAATGACAATAGATAGATTTCAACTTTATTAATTCACAAAAGGCTTATCCAGTAGTTATGAAATAGAGCATGGTCCATATTTTAACATCTAGAACTGTACAAAGACAAAAGGAGACCAAATCTAAGGGTAAAACCCGAGGGAGAAAACAAAATAACACTGATATTTGAAAACATGTTGGATTTACAAATTGACAATTTTAAATAATGTTAAATCTGAGTTTTTTTTATTGTGTAAATTAATTGGTTTAAACAGAAGTCATGTGATAAACAACGGTTTACATTCATTTGGAGTTCATGAGTGACACTTTCTTTTCAGTGGTAGAACAGAGTGCAAACATTTTGAGGTTTTCTGAAAAAAGAAGATGGTAACCTAAGAGTTTCAGTCCGTTTCACTGACAGTAGTACAAAATATATGCTCAGTAAAGCTGACAGAAGGAGAGATCTGTATCTCCAGTTTCTCTCCAATGACACGTTTCCAAAATAAATAGGTGACCATTATGTTTTATTAAAGGTGTCTTGGGATATGTGACTGGACATAGGTGAGCCCAAATCACACACTTAAAATACATTAACAATAAATAACAGCATTCGCTCAGTGCAAAACTACACAATAGCCGAAAATAAAAACGTTTCCTGCATCGCCAAAGAAGACCGTAAATGGTCGGTTATTATACGATGAACCCTTGCTCAAAATCATGTTTTCAAAGCAATCCAAAAAATTTAAATAATCAATGTTATAACTGATTGATATGTGAAGTGATATCAGAACAACACAAAGGACACACTGAGGGACATGTGCGGATCTTTTCCTCTTTAAATGAAGCTGAGGGATTTTAACTTAACCATGTACGTAAAATGTCTTTAAAGAGGTCTGTGAATACTATAATTGAAATACAAATCCTCAGATAAGGCAAACATGTTTTTCTTTTCCATCCATTAGACATTATTTGCAAAAACCTGAAAGAAAAAAATACCAAGGGTACCAAAGCTCCCGTTCTTAGGGTTCATTTCATGTCTCAGAGACGAATATCTAGTATTCTGTTGAAAGCAAATCATTTCAAATGGATTTAACGGAGCGAATCCGTTCATAAGGGGCTGTTATTCTTTATCCAATTGTTATACTAGTTTTACATTTAAGTGTGTCTTTTTTTTAACACTTCATGTTTTGTCATGGTGAACATTTCGGCTTCAGGAAGCAACGGACACCTCTCGGCCGTGGATAGTGTCCTGCATAGCAGCTGAGGAGGCATCAGGTGGTCATAGTTCATAGATGTGTGTGTGTGTGTGTGTGTGTGTGTGTGTGTGTGTGTGTGTGTGTGTGTGTGTGTGTGTGTGTGTGTGTGTGTGTGTGTGTGTGTGTACTATGTCTGGGCCAGCTGAAGCTCCTCCAGTCCGTGACTACCCAGGTGATATCTGGCCAAATCTTTCCTAGTCACCAGACCGACCACCTGAAAACCAAATGTGTGAAGTCAGAATAATTGTCAGCAACACGAATGTGATCATGAGATCAATCAATGCATTAAGTCACACACAAACACACACTCTTACCCTGTTCACATCATCCGCTACCACCAGGTGTCTGAGTCCCAGCGCTCTGAACAGCTTAAACACACGAGGAAGAGAAGTTTCCTGCAAACACAACGTCTCATTTTAGTTTAAATGTAGTTATAAATGTTATGTATTCATATAAACATAAATGTTGGCCATGGAGAGTTAAACACCTGAACTTTTTGAACATTCATCTGTTTGCAACTCATATATCAATATTCCAATTACTGTATATAGACTATTCTGCACTGTTTCTATTATATTCTATTTGATTTTATATACTTGTACTATTTGATCTGTTTTATTGTGTTGCACTGTCAGAGGAGCCTGTGACCTAAGAATTACATGACAATAAAAGCCTTGAAACTTGTGCCATAGAGTGGTGCAGTGACGCGTCCTAAAACCCGGAAGTAAGCTGCGCATGCTTTCCCTTGACAAAAATGTCGGATTTCTCCATAGGATATTTGAAAATTGCTCGAAATAAGGTCTGTGGAAAACGAACCTGATAGATAAATGCACGTTTTGTTCAGCCGGATAATATCCACATGTCTACCCTACTTTTATAATTTTCGAATCATAAATCTATTTGTTATTCGAAAACAAAAACATGCATTTATCTAACAGGTTCGTTTTCCACAGATCTTATTTCGAGCTATTTTCCAAAACCCTATGGAGAAATCCCATTTCTTTTTTGTCGAGGGAACCCGAGCGCAGCTTACTTACGGATTTTAGGATTCATTTATTATGTACATCTACATAAATCGTGTGTGTGTTACCAGTGGCACAGTGTAAGGCGTTGCGTTCATGAACTCGGTGAGGTCCATCATGCACTCCCTCTCGTCCTGGGACACGTGGATGCTCTGGATGGGGGGGAAGCGGGGGTAAGCGTCCCTGAAGTCCTTCAGCTGGAGCTTCCTCTGAGTCAGCCGGGAGCGAGCCAGCTCCACAAACACCTGCCGGGACACAGGAGGAACTGTGAGCCACACTATTTAAAACAGTGCTTCTCAAACTTTGTTCAGTAATGTCCCCCCTTTGAAACATTTTCTCAGCCAAGTACCCCCTGACCGACCCCGAACATTTTTGATCGAAAAAGCCTATATAAATAATTACAATATAGTGATGTTGCCTCAGTGTGTGATTTATTAACTCCTTCGTGGTATGCATTACAACAAACTAAGGATATTTTCATTTTATGCATGAAAAAAATAACATAACACTTTTTTCAATTTAAGTAATATGTTATTGTGAAAAACAATAAAATACAATACACACATTTGACATGTTTATATGAGGACCCCCTTGGTGGTTCTAGGAATGTTTTATATACAATTGTGTTTTCTATTTAACTTATTTTACTAAGATTATTTTTTTAATTAACCTTTTTTTATTTTTTTTTATTTAAATCTCACGTACCCCCTGCAGTACCCCAACGTACCCCTAGGGGTCCGCGTACCCCCATTTGAGAATCACTGATTTAAAACATCATAATAGTGAAGAACTTGTATTTTTGACGTGAAAGGAAATATGAATAATGTAATGAATATAAAAAAATTAAAAAAACTATTAAAATAAATAAAAAAGCAGATAAAAGTTATTTAATGAATAATTCGAAAATATGAATTCTTACTTATTTTTTACATACAGTGTAAAAAGCATATCAGATGCCTTTAAACCAAAAGCAATTATTTTTTAAGCGAAAGAAAAAAATATGCAAATATAAACAAATAACTAATGAATCGAACATTAATTGAAATACATTTATTTAAATAATAATGATATATGTACAAAAAACCCCACATATTTTGACTTAGATTAGGGTTAATATTAAAGCTGATTTCAGGGCAGTGATATATGAAGGGTTGCTGATGTTACCTTGTGCTTGAGAAGAACGATGAGCTGAGAGCGGAGGATGAGGCCGCAGAGCTTCGACGGCTGAAAGCGAGTAAACAACAACAAAAGGTGTCGTTAAAGAAATATAACGATTCAGATTGAAGCTCAAACTCTCTGGTACAGTATTAACAGTCTAAAACGAGTCATCCCAAAAGTACTGCGATAGAGTTCCTCAAAAACTAATACTTTTTGTGGCGATTATCTACTTTGTTTCCAGTGTGTCTTCTCTCAGCCTCTTGAAAGTGGGTACTTTGATCTTTTCTATTCAATATTGGATTCGATATGACGAGGAAGTGGGCAAGAGCTGCAGACATTACTTCCTCAAACATGGTCTTATGTCTGCACTGCATTTCTGGTATATCATTTGCTCCAGTAGGTGCTGGTATTTCTGCATTTTTCTCAAAGATGTCTCTGCACAACTGCCGATTGTTGGAAAGAAAATAGCATCTTAAGAGAGACAACAACATTTACTGCTGATACTTTAAAGGGGTAGCTGTGATTTGCTCTAAAAAAGGCCTGAACAATGACAGGGAAAAGTCAGTCCACGTAGATGCATTTCACCATGGCTGGATCCTGCTAAGATAATTGCACTATTTAAAAGAAAACAAAGCCTTCATGCATTACCTCGTCACTATCAGCGCCCTGCATGACGACCGGGAATCCGTTGTGATTGGTGGACGTGTTGCTAAGGACGTCCACGATGGTCCCCACTTTCTCTATCCTGTTCAGACAGGTGACCGGGGCACTCATCACCTCTCTGTGTGTGGGGGCGGAAGAGGGAGAGGAATGAGAACATGGAAAAAGGAGCAAGTGAGAAAAATGATAAATAGTAGACTATAGTGTATTTGAATGGAATATATTTTAACAATCAGTCAGGGAACGCAAATGTGCTTATTGAGCTTAAAAACAGTTGAAAGGCAATTGAATGAAATTCCCAAGGTATAATATTTTTCTTATGAGAAGTTGCTGCAACGCTATGCTTCCACTATAATGAATGAAAGGTGTGAGAGCGGTGCGTAGGTGGTGTGATGTAGAGATCCAGTCTGCACACTTAAATCTGCCAGTCTTACACTTATATAGTTTAACATGAGAAGTGTGCGACCCTTTTCACACAGAAATGGTTCATTAAGTGTCTGCTGTTTCAATTAAACTACCGATATACACAGTGAGTGGATTTCATACTTAAAAGTCCTGTGGTAGAGTAACTTAGCTGATCTTCCTGTAAATGGGGAAATAACTAGATGAATGAAACCCTGCAATCGTTCAGTCATTATGGCTCAGTGTCTCAGAGAGGGACTCACCTGGCTGTTAACCAATGGGAGGTGGCGGGAGCGTCCCAGTGCAGGAAGGGGACGCTCTGCAGTTTGATGTGGATATCATACAGACCCTGGAGCAGGAAGAGATTTGATTTGATTTATTTCGAACGTGTGAAACAATAATACTAAAAATAATAATAATAATAATGAAACAAGAGAATTACGATATTGTACAAACTTAAGCAGTATCAAATTGATAAATAGAAATATTATTGACTTACAAATTATATATTACACATCCAAAAAGAGACACAGTGGACTTGTTGCTCTATCAGCTGTTAAAACCCTGTTACTGTAACTGCACTATTGTTATATATTTGTTATGTATTTGAGTACAATGTGCAGATTTTATTGCATCATTTGATTGCACAGTTTTACTTAAACTTCCTAAGTCTTAACTCACCTCCACAAAATAGTCCCCTACTATCTTGGCAGTCATGAGGACGAGCATGATAGGAAGACCGTACGTAACGTTTCCTGTCGCCTCCATCATGATGACGGTCAAACTGAGAGTCATCCTCACTACGCCACCTGGGAAGAGGAGATGTAGTTATATGGATTATTTAAAAAACAGACTCCAGAGTATGGATAGCTCTCCACAGGTTGCAGATGTCTCACTGATTGCTCGTCTTAATGCAGTCCATTTCTTATTTCCAGTTCAGGTTACTCACCTAACTGAGCTGCGGCTCCAATCAGAGCATATTTACCAGGGTCCGCCCAGATCTAACAAAACACACAGGAAATAATAGTTCAAAGCATCTCGAGTATTGATATAGTTGTTATACTAATAAATACCGGGAAAAAGCAACATCAGTCTCTTATAGGTTGGACCAAATACCAGAACTGGCATCAGGAGTTATTACGTTTGAGAAACCATGTAATTAAAGGTCCCCTATTATACTGTTTTGCATCAATATATTACAGGTCTCAGATATATACAAAACATGTCTCTGAAGTGTTTGGCTCCAAACCCCAAACAGATCATTGCAGCATTACCCATAATCCCCTCTGTTTCAGCCCTGTTTCAAAAGTGCTGATTCTCTGTCTGTTACTTTAGATGAAAATAAGGAGCCCCTCCCCACGCCCCTCTGAGAGACATTCGGTTAAAAAGAACTCAATGGTGCTCTAGGAGGAGATTCAGGTGATAAGGGGGGGGGGGGGTTACCTTGGTTGGTGATTGGCTAATGGTTACACAAGCCAAAAAAACGTTATGACATCATAAAGTGGCCAAAATCAGCTCATTTTCAGACAGGTTTTTATATAAATGGATCAGAAAATGTGGATTTTGCATAATAGATGACCTTTAAATTAAAGTATTGAGACTTCAATTTAACCATAATGTGGTTCTCTTTCATTATGGGAACTGAATTGGATCGTCTTCTTGTCTTCCCACAGAGTGAAGAATCATAAATATGCACTCACCGAGCCATTGGGGGTGATGGAGGCCAGCAGGATGCCGAACAGTCTCCCCCAGGCGGCTCCTATCAGCAGAGCGGGGATGAAGACCCCCGCAGACACCGCCAGGCCGTACGTCCAACACGCCAGGAAGAAATAAGTGATGGTGAACAAACTCAGGGTCAACGGATCGTAGGTCCCTTTAATAGAGACAGAAGTTCAACACATCTGTTTCACACACTGATCATATTTAAATCCCACCTCTTATAACGCCTGTTCAGACTAGGCTCCCTCTCCAGTCTAACATTTTAGACTAGACACGTGTAGGTATATTTGATATTAAGTACTTTTAGTAGAAAAAACAAGAACACAATGTAAACCTCATCTTGTTTACATCTGGCGGACAATTTTAATGGTCTATCTTATTCTTCACAATTTACTACGATACATTTGCATTGAACTATTTGTACATTTTTTTTCTTGTGAAGCACTTTGTGAATTGTATTTCTGTGAAAGGTGCTATAATATGTATAAGTATTATTAGTACTATTATTATTATTACATAGTGTGTTTAATGACGGACACAAATAGCGTTGCACGTGGTCAGTAAGGGCAGCTGGTTGAGTCAGGACCAATGCAGACTTCCTGTAGGGTTTAATAACTTCCTGTTGGATGTTTTAATAACTTCCTGTTGGGAGTGTTTCATAACTTCCTCTGCCTGTAAGATGGCTCTGAAGGTCACTCAATATGTCAGACCCTCCACGGAAACGCTCAAACGGAGAGGAAGTGGTAAGGAAGAGAGTGTGGAGGTCGGATTGGTAGTACTGGGCTTTATTCATTAAAATCCCGTTTCCACAATGTGCAAAATAATAGAAAGAAGGAAACACTGGGCCAGATGTTTGTACAGAGTTATTTTTAGCAGCTTTTCACCTGCTTGTGTGTGGAAGAGGCTGCGGACGCTTATCTCAGGAGTGTTGAAGAAGATTGTTGCCATGGAGTTGTACTCTCCATCTGCACAGAACAACTGTGTGTGAGAGAGAGAGAGAGAGAGAGAGAGAGAGAGAGAGAGAGAGAGAGAGAGAGAGAGAGAGATAAGAGCTGGATAAAAAAGAGGAGACAAGAAGAGACTTCCTTCCTTCCTGTCGCTGTGTGATTTAGTGATTTAACTATGCTGTCTAACAGGACAGATTAGGATCAGTGAAGGTATGTAAACCTCATTTGGTGCTGTCATGGAGCAGCGGTCCAGAGTTGTTTATGTTTTCTTCGTCACGAGCCACTCCTATCTCTTTCAAAATATGTCCTCTCTCCCTAATATGTCTAATAAAAAGGTGAGGATGCCAAAAAAAACACACCACAGCATGGGTGGGATACATTTCCGTGAATACTGATTCAGATGAAGTACCAGTTGTCTGTTCTGCCCAAACATGATGGGTTGAAGCCGTAATTAAAAATGTAAAAAGACCAGAAAAATCGAACCTATCCCAAAATAATCTGCGCTCTTTGAGAAAGCATTCGTGACAAAATAATCTACTTGAAAAAATATATTATTGTATGAATTAATCACATGGAGAATGTGTGTCCCTAGACATTTATATATTAATACATTTTCGACAATGAATTATAAGTGAAATATTTTTGAATGACTGAGTCTGAAAGAGCTTTGCTTATCTGTATAATTGTGTCCATTGGGAACAATTGAAACAGTCTCCTCTCTTAGCAAGACCATGGAGTTGTGTCTCCATGTCTGATGTTGAAATACACAGCACAGAGGTTTATTTGTGAGACCTGATCTGTAGCGTGAGTAGCTTTGGTTCAACACAGAAACCATTTGTTCGCACACAAAGAACAAACAAACAAAACAAAACAAGGATCGGCTGTTTGTTTTTCTTCAGTTAAATGTTGCAACAAATTCCATTGACATCCCTCCAATAGTTGAGACATTTCAAGGAAACCACTATTGTCACAAAAGTAAAAGTCAGGGTTTGATTTGATATACTTTATTAATCCCCGTGGGGAAATTGTTTCTCTGCATTTGACCCATCCTAGTGTTAGGAGCAGTGGGCTGCCATTTTGAACGGCGCCCGGGGAGCAGTGTAGGGAACGATGCCTTGCTCAGGGACACCTCGGTAGCACTTGGTCTTGCCGGGACTTGAACTGGTGACCTTCCAGTTGCCAAGCCAAGTCCCTATGGACTTCGCCGCCACCACCCTCGTTTCACCAGAGTCAGAACTATTCATCCTCTGGGGAACATGACCGTCAAAATGGTGTCCTCTACTTGGATCCTTTGGGCCGTATTGTTCTTATGACATACATACTGGTAAAGCGTAATGAAGTGAAACAGCTCTCTGGTTAAATAAACAGGAAGCATTAAGGTTCTCTGTGAGAGGCTCTATCTTATCTGAATCTGCACTCAGGTCGGTGTAATGTGCTCAATCATGCTCATACACTTTTAAATCTGTCTTGATAACTGACAGCGCTTGTGACACCACGTAACTGTGACAGTGAGTGTGTGAGTGTGAGTGTGAGTGTGTGTGTGTGTGTACCTGCAGTGGGTACTTCTCTTTGTTCTCGGACCCCAGAGGCTGACAGTCATTGGAGAAGTAGATCATGGTGAACGACACGGCCGCGGTTACTGCAGCAACCAACATGGCCTCCATCACTTGTAAACACGGCCGATGAACATACCTGAAACACAATTACACGCAAGGTAGTTTTGAACAGGTAATGAAACTGTCTTAATATAATTCTAATGTTATATGACTTACATAAACAAACAAGACTATCAGCAAGAAGATTGGCTATTTCAAAACAAGTTATCCTAAATGTGTTGTTTTTTACAGTTAATATTTTATTGTGCATTATCTGGTGAGATTCTCATCGAATGTTGTCCTAAACTAGCATGAGAGATACTTTATTGATGAAATACATTGCAATAAGTTGTTTTAAATCCATATATGATTATACATTAGTAATACTATTGCAGTTACTGATCTTACAAGTTACAAGTTATTTTTATGAATAAAGTTTATTATTTTGTAAAAAAATCTAGGTAACATTAACAACAACAAAAAGCCTATATTATTATTATTTAAAACGGAATTTTATTACTACAGTGTTTCCCATACATTGATTTATTTGTGACGGGCCGCCACAATTAAATATCGTCCGCCACAAATGGATCTCGTAATTTTTGGTGGTGGTCTAATGGATAGTGAGGTGGGCTGATGATGCGAGTTCAAATCCTGCCTGGAACACCACTAGTCTACTAGTGTGCCCTTGAGAATGTCCCTTTAATTGCTCATTGTAAGTCGCTTTGGAATAAGGCGTCTGCTAAATGCCTAAATTGTAAATTATATTTTTGGGAGAATAAACCCCACAGATCCTCAACTCCGGTGTGTCTCACTCATTAACAACGCAACACAGAGCAACAAGAACGTTGTCTACAGTAGCCATGAACTCGCATGTATTATCTTATTTGATAACCCGAATTAACCACGTGGTCCTTTGGCTTTTCTTGCCGGGGGGCGGTGCGGTGCGGTGCCCCCACAAATAGAATCAAATTCTGTGGGAAACACTGTACTACATTACATTACATTGCATTTAGCTGACGCTTTTATCCAAAGCGACTTACAATAAGTGTGTTCGACCAACAAGATACAAACATATAAGTACATCAGGTGTCATAGAGCCAAAACATTTCAAGTGCTACTCAACTGGCTTTAGATAAGCCAGTCCTTTATTAGTATATAAGTGCTTTGTTAGTAATTCTATCGCTCGAAGTGGAGTCGAAAGAGATGAGTTTTCAGTCTCCCCCGGAAGATGTGCAAGCTATCTGCTGTCCTATCTGCTGTACTACTGTTAAGTTTTGAGTATGCAAGTCAATTTAAGTCAACTTTAAAAATGAATTACTTTGGTCTGAAAACTGGCAATAAATAAAATCCTATTATTAAATATCTGGAGTTTGTCTAGTAAACAGTTATCTGACAGTGAGTTTATGAAATATATCAGTTTTTTTTATTAAAAACCTGCATCACAAACGTGTTGGTGCTCATGGAAACACAGCCTTTTGTCCACAGGGGCCGCCAGATCAACAGAAAAAGGATAATTAATCATAGCAGAAGACATACTTTATTAATCCTTTAGGGACAATTCAACACTTTAAATGACGTTTAACCAGATCACCACTTGAATTAACTAGAAACGGACATGTTGTTGTTTGTTGAGCATCAGCGTGAACTTTCCTGAGACTGGAGGAAATCCCCGGTGCAATAAAACGTAGTGACTGGAACAAAGCTCTAAAGTGGATTCCAGGTATTCTGACGCAATGCGACACAAATGCAAACGTTATTGTAGGTGCCATAACACTACTTAGCTCAAGTTCATTATTTGTATTATTTGTAGGTGCCATAACACTACTTAGCTCAAGTTCATTATTTGTATTATTATTATTATTTACGTCACCTTTATTTGCTTGTTGAGCACTTCCGGTAATTGTCACATGGGTGTGGTTTGGTTTATGAGTCACCTGTTTGATGTCGAGTGCACATGACAGAGGGTGAGCTTGTGCTGTCATTTTTTTCTGTTGACCGTTTTGTCCATAGTTACTATGTTTTGATTTTGTTTATTAAATATCCTTAAAACTATATTGCTTCAACATGGACTTTCTTTTCGAAAACACGTCATAGTTTAAAGCCAAGTTTAGCCTCTCGGCGACTCAAATGTAACTGGGGATTGAGCCGCCACAGTAATCCTTATGATCACTTAGGTGACAGCCTGTTTTCAGACATACGTGTATAAATATAAAAATGTATAACCGTAACCGACTAACATTACCATATTTATGTACCACAGAGTTCTTGCTGAATCATAACCCTTACCCAGAGCCACCCGGTCCAACAGTGATTAAACCTGTTCTCTATTTTAAAACTCCTCGATCACAAGATGTTGACATTCTGAGAAGTCAAATTTTACACAACCCTTCATTCAATTCTAGGAAAGCTTCCTCATCTCGCACCCCACCCTAATACCACCGTGTGTTTCTTGGCACACGAAACACACAAAGCTATTCTTCATATGTCACCTGACCCTGTGTGGCAACCTTTTCACGTACATTTGTGACGTGCAATTTTTTAAGCCTTTTATAGACGTTACCTGATCCTGAAGATGGTCAGCCAGTAGTTCAGTTTGTTGAACAGAGCGCCTAACAATCCACCTGCACAGGGAATATAAACACTGCCGTCAGAATTTCAAACATTAACTGAATCAAGTATTAATTAGTAGAATTATCAGTATTTGTATTATTTTAAATTAATCCATTCATTGATTGGTCTATAAAAGGTCAACACTTAGAGATGTCCATCCCAGTTTGTGAAAATCCAAGTCATGTATTTAAATGTAGCCAAATATATTTTATATAGTTTAATATTTAAAAATAAATACAGTAAAATTAAGAAATGTCCATATCTAAGATGCTGCAAGCTCTTAATATTGTTCCATCAATTGACTAATTGTTGCAGCTCTATTATGAATATTATTATTGAATATATTAGTACTGTAATTACACTTTTTTATAATTGTTATTTTTATTATGCTAATATTCCTGTCCTCCACCCAGTTATAAAAGAGTCAAGTATTCCCTAAGATATTTTTACCAAAAGCTCCCATAGCGATGAACAGGGGAATCTCATAGAGGTTATAGGCCCCACTCTGAAAAAGGAATACAAACACATCATGTCATTGTTTACTTTACACAGACTAACAAACAACATAAAGGTGAGGCAGTAACCAAAAGTGTTGGTTTCTCACATCGCTCTCAAAGCGCCCGAAGTTGATGAGACCCGGGTTGGAGAGGTCTCCTGGTTTGTTGTGGTAGAAACTGAGGAAGAAGTTCAGGGTGAAGGTGGAGATCATGGAAGCGAAGAACTGCAGGGGAGAGAAGAGACGGGGGGGGGGGGGGGGGGGGACTGTTAGGCATGATTCGGAAACTGAAACCCATTCTGCTATTGGCTATCTTTTTTAATGACTTTTTATTAGCAACAACCCCCCTTTAAATTGTATTTTATTCTTTAACATTTGGTTATTGTTTTATTTATTTTATAGGTCTTATTTTACCACTTTCTTAGCGAGATTCCCTTTTAATAATTTGATCTTTATTATTCTTATAAATGATTTTGTTGAGTTTTATTTTCAGTTTATTAATTTAATAAGTGTTTATATTTTATCGTATTTATTAGTTTGGTCTTCCTTTATTTTACCAAGAGGGATCACTATTTTATTGTTAAGGTACTCTTGATGGGTTGGTTAGGGACTGGTCCCAATAGCACTATACATGAAAGATGAATGGTTGAGTGTTATAATTATATAACACGTTTAACAGAATAAGTACTTACATTTGGTAAATGCACACAAGGTAATGACTGCAGCTGCTCTTTTTCTGTATTTGTCAGCAGGGTTTTTTTTGGTAATTGTATATTTTGTCTTAATTTGTCGTGAAATCAATGGTCCCTAAATCTGACAATCTCAGTTTGAGATTTAATTTGTATCAAATATCCTTTATCCGTCCCACACAGGAGAAATGTACTTACTAAGAAAGAGGCAAGCACGTGGTTAATGAAGTAAAAGGTATTTATATTGTATCATCTTATGACTGTTAAAAATAAAAGAAATATTGAAAATCAAAAATAAATCAAAAATGTTAGGGATTTTAAATCTCAACAACATTGCATTTTAACATTCCTGTTGTTATTTTACTTGAACTATTTTTATTGCACTATCCTTATTTATGTCTTAGGTATATTGTACTGTTTGAAGAGCCTCAAACTTTTCATTGCCAACAACTACAGTGTAGCTATTATGCATGTAACAATACAACCTTATCTTAAATGAATTCTGTATACAAACCTCTTGATTTAATTTACATGACAACATGACATGATAAGGAGTTTTATCACAGGGTGTAATATGGTGTACAGTGGACTTACTATCCTCCAGGTCAGCATCTGGTTCCAGAAAGAAGCTCCCTCCTCCAGAGAGAACAGGACGCCGCCTGTCAAAAACAGAATCTCAGTCAGGAAACACAGTGTGATGTTGCTAAAGGTTTCCTTTGATCCCCTGACGCCATGTCTGAAGAGGAGTGAGCATCCCAAGTTAGCTGACAATCACACGGCATCCTCCACATTGATTGATAAGCGCAGTAACATATTTACAGGGTTCACATGAGTTAATATGGAATAACTCTGTTTACATGACTGTAACACATTACTGACGTGGTATGTGAAGCATTTCCAGACTACTGATGAGAAAATTCTATATGTACAAGGAAGCTTTTACTGCTTTACCGTCACGACTAATGATGTCAGGGTTTCTGCAGTGTTCACTTAATACATTTAAAGGGGCCATATTCTGCTCATTTTCAGGTTCATATTAGTTTTAGTGTCTCTCCTGTGACATGTCTCCATGCTTTAATGTTCAGAAAGCTCTTTATTTCTCTCATACTGTGCTGCAGCACCTCTTTTCTCCCTCTGTCTGAAACCAGAGCCCAGTCTGCTCTGATTGGTTAGCTGGACGGCTCTGTTGTGATTGGTCAACAGTTTAAAGCTGTCCCGCCCCTTAGCCTCTAACACGTACACTGTGTTGGAGCGCTAGCCAATAGAAGTGAAGTCTGTGGGTGTTTCTTAATGTCGAGGACGCTTCCTTGGTAGGACAAGTCCCTCCGAGTCAGGTCCTTCAGAAGCGAGGCAAGAATCCTTCCTAGCCTCGGAAAACGAAGAATGGTGGAACAGGCTAACAGGTGTGCGTCATATGCGAGGCCCCGCCTTAAATGGAGCGCGATTTCCGTCAAAGATTTGGAAATTGGTCCGTGCGCAAAGCATTGTGGGGATTTTAAGACCGCGGAGGATACACATGTGCAGCCTCGAAATTTCCCGCAACAAAAGGACGCCGGCCTCGGTAGAATTAGACATTGGAACAGTCCTTCGGCGGGACTCGATGACGTAGCATCCTTGAAATAGTGGCTCTGGAGGAGCCTTCCTCGACATTGAGAAACACCCACTATGTTCCTGAAGTAAACAAAGGACTCTAATGGAGGCGTTTCAGGCAGGGGGGGGGGATAAACTTCCTCTCATAAATTTAAGTTTTTATTTGAATTCTAAACTTGTCAATTATGAGTCAACTATCTTCCTAAAGACTGTAGCTAGCAGCTGTGACCACCTTGCTAAAGATCTGATGGTACCAACTGAAAAAGGACAAAATAACATGTACTCAAAATTAACTGTCAAAACAATCACGTCTTTGTTTATCGATGTCTTTTGACTGCACACAATACAAAAACGTTTTATATCCATCATTATCGGCTCCAGCAGGCAGTTGCAAATTGGATTTAAGTTTTTTTTACCACCTTCTAGGACATTTTGAATGTATTCATTTATCAAAACAAAGCTACCCCCTCATCCTCCCCTTAACATCCGCACACACCAACATAACACTTTTTAATACAGATAGTATGTTTTTATGTTATATATTTACTGTATTTAATCTCTTGTGTATAATTACACACTGTTTTGGTCTATTGTTAGAACCAATATTGGATCGACTTGTACTTTGATGCTTTGGCCTCATAAATCACTCACTGAATCAATAAAGCCAATAAAGTCTTTAATTTGAACTGCATTGAATTACATTAAATTAAATTGAATAGTCCTGTCCCACACAAGTTCCCTTACAGGTGTGTCTGTCTTTAGTCTGGGCATGCAGCCACACGGCTTGGTCTGTTGTCTTTATAGCAGCTAAACTGCCTGCACATTCAGGCAGATAAATATGAAAACACATACGTATGCAGGGTGCTTTAGTGATGTTGTTTTTACCGACTGGAGCTCCAAAAGCAGCTGAAACACCGGCAGCAGCTCCAGCAGAAACAAAGTCTCTTTTCTCAGTGTCTCTCCGGAAGTATTCAAAGATCTACAAACACACACGTATTACTCGTTATACATTAGTTACAAACACACCCTATCCACGTACAGTTAAAAACATGTCAGTAGTACAAAAGCATGCTTGAATGAAGAACAATCATATTTAAATGATTGAAAGGTATAAAGGATCTTCAGTAAGACAGAATACAGGGAGTGTTAGGAACAAAGTATTTCAAATTAAAAGAAAACGTATAGGTCTAATTGAATATACTTCCATGTGTTTAATAGCCTGAGACACACACAGACCTTGAAGTCTCTCTTTAAAGAGGTGCTCCTGCCCTGTGAGACTCCTGCAGCTACAACAGCACCAGAGTGAATCATGGGTCCTTCCTGAAGGATTGTGGGTAAACAAGAGGACAGGTATGAAAGAGAATTCATGGCAAGCAGTCAATTTAACGAGACATGATCTTGAAAAATTCAAATTTTCCAACTCCAAAAATGGAAAACATAATTGTATTGTTTGTAAAAAAAAAAAAAATGGCATCTTTAAGTCTTAGCTTTGCTTACAGTTCTAGACTTGATACTTAACTTCACGACAGCATTTTGAAACAAACAGACAGTGAGGGATAATATTTGTTTACCTTTCCGACAGCAAGACCGCCAACCACTGAACAGATAACACCGCACACTTTCACCACCAGGGTCTGTTGGGGGAAAACAAAACATGTTACAGATAAGAAACTCCTTCCAAAAACATCCATTGAGATGTGTGTGTGTGTGTGTGTGTGTGTGTGTGTGTGTGTGTGTGTGTGTGTGTCTGTCTTTACCTTGAGTCGTACCACCCTAGGAATCTTGACTCCATTGAGGTAACATTTTATCTGAGGGATCCCACTTCCTGCTGCTATGGGCTGCATGAGACAAAAGGGAGAGTTATATTAAAATATAGAAACCTACAGTATTTATGATTACATGAGTAACATATAAGGGTGTGAGGAGTGTTGGTGTTTCTTTGTGTTGAATGAAATGTCTCAATGGTTATGAAATGGAATTGAAAGCAGACTTTTTGGGGACTGAAAAAAAAGTGTAATCAGTCTGCTTGCATGAAGAAACCTAATGTTGCTTAATGAAATCTCAGCTGACTGTGGTGAACCTGAATGGGAGAATAAAGGAAGCACATTCAGATGTACTGATTTTCACTATTACTAACACAAACTGGTAGAGGCTGTTCCCTAATTAGTTTTCACTTGCACTTCCATGTGAATGTTGTGTAATTCAGACATTATTCTCAAGGAACAATCAAAAGCACAAAGCGGAAGCCGACTAAAGTCATTAAGGTTACTAAAACACATCTCGAGTCTTACCTCGAAAAATGCAACGAGGATGGCCCCCATCATGACGATGGCGGAGTTGAGGACGGCCCAGAGGATGAGGGAGATCGACAGGCCGCCAACCTCTGTGAAATTATCTATGTCTGTGAGGGGTCAGAGGTCAAGGAAAACCACATACAATGTGTTGAAGCGCTAGCCAATAGTGGGTGAATGTTACAGAGTGATGTTATTATGCTACATAAGTAAACAAAGGAGTCCAATGGAGGTGTTTCAGGCAGGGGGGGGGGGGATTGGGAGTGTGTGGGAGAGAAACTCCCTCTGGGGGGGAACACAGGGATTTGCTTGAGAGGGTCTGAACCAAACAAGGATGTCAGAATCAGAAACAGGTTTATTACCGGGTAGGTGAACACATACGAGGAATTTGACTAGGTGTCGTGGTGCATACATAAAAGTAAAACAGCAATTAAAAACACAGATAGAAACTATTTTAAGAAAACTATAATAACATAGAAAAATATAGCAGTATTTACATTGAATATGGTTGAAGTAGAATTGGTATAAAATATGTGTAGTAATGAAAAATGTAAGTGTATGCAGCCCAACAATACTTCATTCAGATATTTTTTCATTTAGCCTTTACCAAATATTGCAGCTTACTGTGATTTGGGCATTGCACTAGTCCATGTTCGATAACATTTTGATTAATTATGCAGCTTTAATATATATATATAAAACAGTGCAATACCAAATGATTATATATTCTTTCAGTCACTGTTTCTCTGTACTGTAAAGCACTTTGAATTGTCGCGTACAGAAAAGTGCTATATAATTAAACTTGCCTTGCCTAGCCTATTGTACTTGTGCCTGTAAAGTCCATGTCACACTGTACCGAAATTGACACCCGATGGACACACGAATATGGAATTGTGAATTTCGCACGAAGATGGCCCCGAACCACACACGAAGGCAACATTTACATTACATGTAAGACATACAACTGCAACGAAAGTACCAAAAACAATTATGTTACAGTACTATGATACTGTACTGATATCTTCAGACTTTGTTCTTTACTTTATCCGTCTTTATATGTAGAAGATATTAAGTTTTCTCCGTAATGTTGTTTCCATAGCAACAACAACTTCCTGTCAACTGTCCTTCAAAATAATATATTATATCCTTTTCAGTTTCACAGAACACAAATTGGGTTATTTACATAATATGTTTACATGATTTTGTTGTGCAATAAAACAACCCGATGGACACACGATAAAGGAAATGTTCAAATTCGGCTGTGATCGTAGCAACATCGGGCCATTCGTGAGGGCATCTTAAGCCTTCGTATGACCGCCGGTGGAGTTTCTCAGGCTCCGGCAGCAACTTCGTGAGCGGTGGCAAAATCTTTGGCATGCCAAAAAATTGCCGAAGGACCTTGCGAAGGTTCATTTTCGTGTTGAATTCGTGTGTCAATTTTGCCCTTCGTAAGGCCATCGTGAGGGCATCTTGTTATCATCGGTGCCATCGGGCATTCGCCCCGATCAGAGTGAGGGCGAATGCCCGATGGCACCGATGATAACACGAAGATGACACGATTTGACAAGATGCCCTCACGATGCCTTACGAAGTTGCCGCTCACAAAGTTGCTGCCGGAGCCTGAGAAACTCCACCGGCGGTCATACGATGGCTTAAGCCTTTAGATGCCCTCACGAATGTCCCGATGTTGCTACGATCACAGCCGAATTTGAACATTTCCTTTATCGTGTGTCCATCGGGTGTCAATTTCGGGACAGTGTGACACGGGCTTCTGATTATCTTGCACAAAGGATACTCTCTTTGACCACTCGGTATTTCATCCCAGCAAGTTCCTCCACCGCAATGTCGATAAAGCAGGCGATGAGGCCGGTCAGGAAGCCGATCAGACCACAAACCACCCAGCGACTGATTTCCAGACAGCGGAAACCCTAGAAAAAAATACAAGAACAGAGAGGAGCTAAAACCATCACCAGAGGAGAAGTTAGAGTTATTCAAAATAAGGGAAATGCATGAATTCACACACATTGACATTACATTGCATTTAGCTGACGCTTTTATCCAAAGCGACTTACAATAAGTGCATTTGACCAAGAAGACATGTGAAGGTGACTATATAAAGTCACCTTTGTTACAATATAAGAACAGAAGATGGAAATTAGATAGGAGCTTTATCTGGCATAAATAATATCTTCCCAATGTGTTTTTATGCATGGTCCTTGTTTATTAAAGACATGCAAGGCTGGATAACAAACATCCAGGTGTTTCCTTCTCTACTCACCATGTAACTCATCCTCCTCTCCTCCTCCAGAAACAGCTGGTTCTCAATGTTATCATAGTCCAGACTCTGGAATCACACACACACACACACACACACACACACACACACACACACACACACACACACACACACACACACACACACACACACACACACACACACACACACACACACACACACACACACACACACACATACACACACACACACACACACACACACACACACACACACACACACACACACACACACACACACACACACACACACACACACACACACACACACACACACACACACACACACACACACACACACACACACACACACACACACACACCAAATCAATATTTAAAATCAACAAAAGCAATGTTTTCTTCTATTTTGCAATACTTTATGATAAACAGATTTAAAAAATGTCACAAATACCTCATTTACATTTTTAGGTCAGCAAGTTCATAGTAAACCATAGATATGTTAATGCGAGCTGAATTTATCAACAGCTGTTAGCTTCCTGCCTGCTTAAGAGGATTATTGCCCTGTTAGCCTAACATGTTTTTAACGTTTCATAACCTGAATGGCATTTTCTATACGTGTTACATTCAACTATTTTGTATTCTTCATCTATTTCTTAACTCCAACATCAAAACATGAAACGTATACATCCCATATACACACGATGCTTTAATTAAAACAATCGAATGCAGGGATCATATAATAATCAGCATTGAGCTGGCATTTTTACCTCAAATTTAAGTGACAGCAGCTTCTCATTATGAGGGATCTCTTTAGGCCGCCCTCTCAGAGATTCCTGCAGGAGAAACAGAGAAAAAACGGAAATCATCAAACTGAAAGTGACTCCTAACCTCTGAATCATGAGGGACTGGAGGAATGGGAGGAATACACATTCTGATGCAACACACAAGCATTTGAAACGACACATACAAACGTCTATTACTCTCAAAGATCACTACCGGAGAGAGGACATGTTTTACAGACTTCATCTAACAGATACAGGAGCATTCATAATCGAAGATGCATGCAAGCCAACTACAGTCAAATACAAAGTAATCTATTCCACATTTGGATGCGATTTGAAGTGAGCGTCGGTCGCACAATCAGCAGCGAAAACAGACCACAGACAAAAGCTTTTATTTGCGGCAAACGAAAGACGTGCAAGTCACATGCATGGCATCGCATTCCCGTCAGGCAGTGAGAACAGATCTGAATCTGATGGCTTCTGTCACGGGAGGAAATGGATGTCCTGTCAAGCTTAGAGACGGAAAAGTAGCTTCAAGCGTCGGATGTATAATCCTGTAGCGATGTGTCACTCCAAGCTGCATCTGTCATGCTGAATTTAAATCGCTTAATGTGTGTTTTCTTTGTATTTCTGGTGAGATGTTCGATGCCTGATTGAATTGAGCTATACAAGTCAAATAACATAAAACCATTTTTGCTTTTCTTTTGTAGCCTAAAAGGACTTAGCTGCATTTGTTGTGCAACCCATTGTTGTAAAAGTGCAGTAAAGGTCACTAAGTAAAACCTGACTGAGATATGCTAATTCAACACATATGATCTGTATTGAATAAATGGTGTGTTTCTGCGTTTTTTTCTTAAGTGTGTGGGATCAGTTTCTGAAAGCTAAAAACGGAATGGTCAGGCGGTCAGTGTTTAGCACAAGGCCTGCCTCAGTTCATCATTTGCGATGCATCACAGTGGAAACCTTCAGACAGTTTCCAAACACGTGTTCTTACACACACTGGATGAGTCAAACATCCTTATTACAGGTCACTTGCTCCCAGGTCAAGAGTTCCCATAGAAGGCCATATTAAGCAGGGAGCTATTGAGATGACATGAAATGCACCCACATCATCATTCACATTCAGTCAATGATTTTAAGACAATAAAGTAGAGTTTTTATAATTACAGAGGGTTAACTAACTACACTAAGGAAGTCTAGAAGAAATGGCGGTAGAGGTGATATCGATAGAGGAGTGACAGACACAGAGAGAAATAGTTCGACGTCGTTCTCGGGCTTTACCTCTTCAGACGTCATCTCCTCCTCCAAATCCACCGTGCTCAGTCTGCCTACCTGAAATATACCGTCTCTCGACAGCTATAGACACCAACACAAATATATATATATATATATAGGGCTATTGTGTAGCCATTTTCAAGCTGATGCTTTAACATGTTGGATATCCAGATGAGAGCGACAGGGTTCGAGAAGTATAAGGAAATAACACTGCATGTATGATACAATAAAGTACATTTTGTTCAAACTTCCACCTTGAATCCTAAAGGAAATGAGTAATCCTGGTGACACGGGGAGGAAAAAGGAAGTAGGATTCTCCATATTAGGTGGAGGACGTTATTTAGTCTAAATATAGCAGGTCTACTAGTTAGTGACACTGTCAGTTTGAGACTGTTATTCTGTTCACACTAACTAAATAAAACGTATACTGGATATAAACAGTATCCATAACAGGCTCAGATTACCTGCAATTATGTGAACACTGATTTTATTACTTTGAGAATGGACTTTCTTACTCATTCAGGAAATGTAATGACTGACATGAGCTTAAGTTATTATTCTCGATAACTGTGTCCTTATACGAAGCTGCCTGTTTTAATTGTACGTAACCTAGTAATAGAGATAAGTCACTAGCTTCTTAATATAATGAAAGGACTAGCCTTTCAAAACTCTCAATAATCTGATTATTTCCCCTAACAATCGAATTACAAGCAGCATGTTGTAAATGATTGAACTAAGACTAACTTAATTACTTTCATGCAGCAAACAAAGCGTGTTGTTGCATCTGAAATGCAAAGACACCATAACACGTGAAAACACAACCAAAAAATATGTCAACAATGCATAAAAAAATCTTCACAAGCATTCATATCCCATGCAGTATTTAGAAACATGACTCAGTGTAACCTTAATGGTTCATAAAAACATGACACAGCATCTTCTGAACACTTTAGGCACAGAGTGGAGGAAGTACCAGAACAAGTCCTGCATTCAAAATGTTACTCAAGTAAATGTAGAAAAGTATCGGCATCATATTATACTTAAAGAAGCAAAAGTAAAAGTAGTCGTTGTGCAGATTGGTCCATTTCAGAATAATATATATGAAATGTTTTATAAAGATTGATCATGAAAGTGTTCTCAAAGCTGGTGAAGGTGCAGCTAGTCTGAATGACTTTGTATACTGCAGGGTAGCTGGTGGATTTACTCCAGGTGTAACTAAAGTCTGATTTAAGTGTTGATTATATTTCACATCATTAATACAAATCTGTAAAGTAACAAAAAGGTATTAATAAATGTCGTTGAGTAAAAGTACACTATTAACCTTTGAATTGTAGTTGGGTAGAAGTACAAAGTAGCAAATAAAGGCAATCCTAAAGTAAAGTACAAGTACTTCATCATTGCACTTAAGTACAGTAGGCTACTTGAGTAAATGTACTTAGTTACTTTACATCACTGTTTGGGACTAACAGACGTCAGGGTTGCTAAGCTAACATGCTACAGCGGTACCTGTCTGGAGGGTCGGGGCTGCTCGGAGCCGTTCAGCAGCGGGGTTCCCTCCGCCGTGACCCCGGACTCGTCGGCCCGGCTGGACCACGACACTTTCTTCGTGATGTTGGCCATAGTGGCCCCCGGTAGCTCGGTGCCCTGACTTCCGCTGAATTATTTCATTAATTTCAGTTGTGGCTGCCTCACTGTACACTGTTATTCTTCCTCAGCTTCCCATGATCATCATGTGACACTTGTAAGGATCGTGTGAAGGGCCAAACATGTCTGGCGCGCTGGATGCTGGGAAATGTATTTTTTTGTTCTTTTTATAAAACAAAAAATATGTCACTGGATTAGATTCACACTTTTGACTGTATCTTGTAATTTAATTTAGAATAAAAACCAACTAGACTCCCACATTGTCTGCTAGGTTTTTTGATAATGTTGTGGCAAAATACAAATTCATAATAATACATTACCTTTATGTAGCTTTTTTCTACTCAAAGTCGCTTTATAAAAGTACAATTCAAACAACAAACAAAGATAAAATCAAGTAAATTAGAACGTATTTAACAGGGAAAGGCAAGTCTAAAGAGGTGGGTTTTGAGGGCTTGTTAGAATGATAGTAGGGTGGTTGATTGTCTGATGTGGAGGGTGCAACACCTATCACCCCAGGTCCGGAGCTTAGTCCTTCTTGTCTTTAGGGTGTTTGCACCTTGGACCTGAGGCATCATGGAGAAGTTTAAAAATGCCTTTTCTACAGTAAGAACAGAATTTACATGCATGTCAAACTTTCAAAGATGTATTTTATAACCAGAATATCACTTTACACATGGTTATGGTGCCACAGTATTAAGTAATAAATCCAAGTCTCAGCACAGATGTTAAGTTAAAAAAAAGTGAACATAAAGTGCTCCTCAAGAATAAATTACAGCAGTGGTGCTGTAAAACCTTTATCTACTTTTTGAAGAATTAAACTCATCCCTTATATTTGATTTTTGACAAAACATAAAGTGTTTTTGGAGTGTTTTAAAGGTTGCTACTGCAGGATTTTAGTTTTATGAATAATGCATCCTGAGTCAAAATAGCACATGTTATTACATTTCAACTTTGATTCTACGGTTTAATGTTAACAAGGCATTTGCAATGATTAAATGGCAACACTTTCAAAAACCCTGCACAGTTGAAACAGTCTTACCTGACTACAATCCAATATTTTTGTCATGGAAGTGATGAAAATTAATATCAAATGTACGAGAACACTCGTACTTATTCTAAGATCCTTGGTAGTGTTTAACACTTAATAATGTTGCATATCAGTCGGAACAGTCCCAGTTTTTTGGTTGATCTATCTTTAAGTCCAGCAACAACATACTGCTTGATATACATCCAACATATATTAAAGGGGCCCTATCACGCTCATTTTCAGGTTCATATTTGTATTTTGTGCCTCTTTTGAGACATGTTTACATGCTTTAATGTTCAAAAAGGTCTTTATAAAAACGCAAGTGTTAAGGAGTGATGTCAATATGTCACTGAAATAAACAAAGGCATCTCAGAGGGTGTGAGAAAGAAACTCCCTCTAGTGATCTTTAGGATTTTAGCCAAAAAAGGAGTAGGGAGATAAAGCGTTTGCATGGCCAGTTAAAAGGCCAGCAATGAAAGCATTCCCTACCGAAATAATGTTTTGGAAAGAAACTCTCTATATGAATTCTCCTCTGTAACTTTATCACACACAGTGCTCTAAACATTCACATGCCACCTGCTGCACCTCCCCATGCACCTCCTTTATGTCCTCCATGCCGAGCACCACCCCTCTGGGCAAACCTCTTCCTTCTGCCACCCCTTCAACCTCTGAAGCACTCAGCACCCGGTTCCACATCCTGAACCCTGCTATCTGACCGGCAAAACCCTCCGCAGAGTCAAACCCTCCTCCCACAACGTCCTGCTCCTGCCCCAGCACCACAGACCCTCCCCCATGTATCTCCCAGCCCTTTCTGAAGTGAGAGCCTGAGGAGGTGAGGCGCCGGTCAACGTAGTGCCAGAAACGCCCCTGGATGGACGACCACACGACGCAAAGGTGGTGCCAGCGAGCGTCCATCAGTGACGACGCGGGGAGACGACGATACACTGGGTCTCCAATGATGAAGTCCAGGGAGGGGGAGGAAGAAGCAGAGATGGATGCAGAAGAGGCAGAGGAGTTACGTCCATACAGAACTAACTGGTTGTCGTTGTCGTCTGTGGCGTAAGAGAGCAGTGTGCCAACATGTGAGGCTTCCACACGGAGCCACAAACACACAGAAAGTTCAGGAAGGTTGGGAAGAGTCCGGAAGAAGGTGACGAAGTTGTCTGCTGATGCCGAGGGGAAGAGCAGCAGGGAGTCCACGTTACAAACTGCAGAAAGACAGGATATAGCCTATCAGTATAATAAAACCAGTGCTAAAAAATAAAACTTACAAGACAAGCGATCAGAAATATCTTGTTGGTAAATGATATGTGGAGGCTACGCAAATGAGTCCCCTAATACACACAATATACAACACAATTCAATAAAACTACAGACCCCTCTAGCTTCTGGAAAATCCCTGAAACTGTTAAGCCCCAAGGTCCCCCTCGGCGGGTACTTTTTTTTTTTTTTTTTCACGACACTGTGTCTCAGGGGATCTTAATATTTAAGAAACTATTGTGTTATACCAGATTAACGGGAATAATCTCAGCTAATTGACGATACAAACCATTTTTACCAAAACAAAACATAAGTCTCATAAGAAGCATCTAAATGACCCCAGAGCGAAAAATGCTAACGCACTTTGGCACAGAACTCAAGATAAAAGATTATTACCTATCGTAGCTGCACATACAATATATCCGATTAAAGCTGAGGTTCCACATATTATTTAGGTATTAGTATCATCACGGAGTGATCCGAACTCGCGACAGGGGAAGCAAACACAGACATCACAACACGTACCTTTACGTAGCTTTTACGGGAGATCGTCTCACCTTAGCTGTCAATCTGATCAAAAGACTTGTTCAATGGCATTAAAACGAGAAAAAACGCGGCAGAATCGGTTAATCCATAAATTGATAATGTTTCTGTGGAATACGTTTTTTATTTATAATCCATAATTCAATTTGTATGTAAAGATCGGAGAGTAAAAGTTAGCTGCTAATGGTAGCCACCAGAGTTATCGCAGCTTCCGGTTTTGGCTATGCGTCAGTCTCACACACACACACATTACCAAATAAGGAGTATGTAGGAGTTCCCCTCGATTCCATTGGCTCTGACGGTTAGAAAGAGAAAGCAAAATTGAGCAAGGGGGGCCAGAGATAGGTCAAATCCACCCAAATTACCCCAGAAGTGGGTTTTTTGGTGCTAAAACTCTCTAAAAAGGTCACATTTCACTTGTTTTGCATCAATCTTGATACAGGGTACTTGTGTTATTATATGTTGTAGTTTGGATTCCTAAAGCTTTTAGTCTACCATCCCATCATTCAAGGGTGGTTTTCACTATAAGTAGGCTAAAAAAATTTTTTTGGATGGACACAATAATTTACATTCTTTTACTGTGTTCAATCTGAATTTACTTTAAAATAAAAACATCTATATTGATTCTGACACTTCTACATCCAACTCACAGGTGTAACCTTGCTTTGAGAAAAAAGATTATTAATTTAACCCTTTTAGAAGGGAAGATATGGTCATTTGTTCTGGGAATGTCATTTTCGAGCCTGAGACCTGAAAAACAGGCTCGGGGCTTAACAGGTTACCCATTTACGGCTTGTAAATTATTTTAACACCTCGTTTTTTTTCCAACAGTCACGAATGTTACGATGAATAAAAGGCTGTCATTATTTGTCATTGAGATGATGACACAGATTTGAGGTGGTATGACCTTATTCTACCTGCAAATTGGCTTTGTAGGCTGTTGTCATCTATTGGTAGTAAGTAATTAAACTACTTAACTTACATTTGTCGGATAGTTTAAGTCATGAACGTACTGAAAAACACATTATTTACCTAAATCTAACCAAGGAGTTTTGGTTCAATTCACATTTTTAACCTAGTGTTTAACACTGGAATTGTACGTTTCTGCTTACCCTGTCTAAAGTATTTGAATGTTAGGATGACTAAATGCCATTCTGGGCAATTATTGGGCAGATAACATTTAAATTGTAAGGATTAAACAATTTAGATACAACATGTAAGGTAGATTTTGTAATTTATGGACAGAACCATGCTGCCAATTTGACCACCTTCTTTCTTAATTTAAATGGGAATGTCTGTTTAACTTCCATTGTATTTCTGTGGTTTCAGTGTCGTTTGTCCGGAGAAGACATGTTGTGATTTGGCTGAGGTGCAACATGTTCATACTGTGATTATTTTGAAACCTGTTAAATAAATACCTCAAGTATCGTGAAGTATATTACTTACTGGTTGCATCCTTTTTAGGAACTGGTCGTGAAGGGATCTTGTGCCTCACAGGAAGCTGGAGGAAGTTATGGATCACTGAAGACTCTTCCTTTGTGTCAGTTTCTTCCTGAGACTCAGATTTGGGCTGAGGGATATCATCTGAACCTTTAGGCGGTGGAGGCCACGGACTGGTCGTACTCAGCCTGGCTTTGCTAGGTTCAGAATAAGTTGGAGAATGGGGCAGGAGCTGGGTCCAATAGGGCCGAGTGGGGTTGTGTAACTGGGGGTGTCTCTGGCGATATAACTTAGGCTGGTATCTCTGCCGTACCTGGGTATGAAGATAAGGCACAGACTGGATCTGCTCCTGCCGGGTCGGGTAAGGCCTTTTCTGGGCCGGCACCTGGATCTGGGACTGGAGACCGTAAGAGTCTGGTTGGGGCGAGTAATGCAGATGAGATTCTTGCTGAGGTCTTGACTCCTTTGAATGTCTTCGGTTTATTGGTACTGACGGGTATTGAAAGGGACCTTCTACTATGGGTTCGGAGTCCAGTCTCAATCTCTCTCTCCCTCTATGTGTCTTTGATCTCCTGCGTGGTTCATAGTGTTCCTGAGATGTGATGTTGGAGTTGAACGACTCTTCCACCCTCCACAGCGCTCCACCATCGCTCTTCTGCAAGACCTGACCCTCCAGTCGGGTCAGACGCAGCGCCTGGTTCTTCAGGGATTCCTGCAGCCCTTTCAGCCCAACGATCAGCTCGTCTCGCTGGGTCTGAAGGGCACCGAGCCGTTCGTCTTGGCTCTGGAGCTCCAGGGTGAGGTTGGGGATATCCTGACCAGGATCGGGCTTCTGTTTC